TAGGAGATGCATTAAGGAGATGTGATCGGATGTCTGATAGGTTGAAGTTAGGATTGGTGCTTATCATCGAGAGCATACTCCGGTGTCATCACAAGAAGACATCGATTGACATTTTTCATTTGGAGGTTGTTAAGGATATTGATGCCTTCAACAACTACCCATGGGGTTGGAGATGTTTTCTTGATACATTACGCGTGTTTAAGAGGGGTTTTCAATGCCAAAGGGGGATAAGCCCAAGCTCAAGTACGATGCATATGGACTGCCGTTGGCGCTGCAGGTATATGTTTAAGTTAATGAATTACCTACACTTTTTTTATTGAATTCTATACATAATAATTGTAATTGTTTCAGATATGGGTGTACGAGACTGTCCCTATCTTGGCCAGTCGGTATGCGAGGAGAGGAGAGACACGCTATCCTTGGATGCATCACTAGCGAGCACAAGACAAGCCGCTTGCCAGACAGTTATCAGCTCTCCTCGACGATCCTGAGGTACGTATTATACAATTGCTATTTATGTCGTACGTCCTTTTAGAATCTGAATACATAGTCATTAACTGTGACATATGAAAATGACAGCTTGAAGTTCTCATTGAGTTGGCACCGTCGATCGAGGAGGAGAGTCAGTTTTATATTCGCGAATTGCCTCTTCGTACTGCGTATGACGATCAGATGCCTGAGTCCAGGATGGATCGAGATAGGGTATGTCACTGTGCAGGATTTATTGAATATCGCTTCGATCTTGTAATTAAGTGCCTCACTTGTAATATTTATTTTTTCAGGAGGATCGTTCAGTATTACCTCCGTTGAGGATATCACCTCCACCGACGAGAGCACGTCCAGCGAGGATGTCACCTCCGCTGAGAAGATCACGTCCAGCTACGCCAGAGTTTCAGATGCCTGAGTCTAGCGTTGATCGAGATAGAGTATGTTACTTAAAAATAATTCTTCGATTGTCGTTTTATTTTATTTGTTAGGTTATTCATTTGTAATAGTTATTTTTTCAGGAGGGCCGTCCAGTATCGCCTCCTGCACCTTGTTCCCGTGCTTCGACGATTGATTTGTTCGACCTCCTGATGGAGATGAGAGGAGACATGGCAGAGTTATCGTGACACTACGAGCTGAGCTCGGGGACATGGCACAGTTACGATATGATGTCGCGATGTTACGAGCTGGGTTAGGAGACCTCCATGCTGAGGTTGCAGCGATACAGGGTGACATAGCAGGCCTGCGTGGGACGAGCGATTATCGAGATGGAGGAGGTAGCGGAGGGACTGGTGGCTATCGGGACGGAGGGGGTGACGAAGGGACTGGTGGCTATCGAGACGGAGGGACTGGCGGTTATCGGGACGGAGGGGGTGACGGAGGGGTCGGTGGTTATCAGGGGGGAGTGGGTCAGATGGGGTATGTTGACTCATCGTGGCCATCAGTTGCTGCATTTGGTTCGTTTTTAGATAACACGATGGGGATAGAGGAGCGAGGTGGAGGGGGTACCCGAGGAGGAGAGGGTACCGGAGATGGAGGTGGAGGTGGTATCGGAGGTGGGGGTGCCCGTGCAGGGGATACCCGAGGTCGTCGAGGGGGCATCGGAGGTGGAGGTGGAGGTCGTACCCGTGCAGGGGATACCCGGGGATGCCGAGGGGGTACTTGAGGAGGATAGGGTACTGGAGCTGGAGGTGGTACCCGTGCACGGGATACCCGGGGATGTCGAGGGGGCACCGGAGGAGGATAGGGTACTGGAGCTGGAGCTGGAGGTGGTACCCGTGCACGGGATACCCGGGGATGTCGAGGGGGCACCGGAGGAGGAGAGGGTACCGGAGGTAGAGGTGGTCTTTGTGTCGGAGGAGGTGGTCCCGACAGCAGGCGAGGGGGTCGTCCCGATGGCTGGGGAGATGGAGATTCCCGAGGCACATGAGGAGCGGGTGGTCGGCAAGAGGCCAAGGGTGCCATCACAGTACGTTCTTTCTCCCTTTACCGCGGAGGCGAAGAGGAGAAGGTTCGTCGACGGGACGCACCCGAATTTATTCAGGGAGGTGGACCACGCCAAGTGGAAAGCCTTTGAGACAGAGTGGAGAGCACTGCAGCCTGGGTCAGTTTTGTATTTTATGTAATTACTATAGTACGCATACGCTGACACTGACACATGTATACTTCATATAATTAAAAATTCTGTTCTTATTTTTTCAGGGCCAGCCGCACGATTGCTGAGAAGACGATCTCAAATGCTTACAAGTGGTTCCACGACATCACCACTTCGGGGGCTTGGCTCGCCGACGATGTAAGTGAAATGAAAATATTGTTATTTATTATGTACGTTCGAAATCAATTTTTTGAATGAAATTCGTAGATTAACTCCTTTCTTTATTGGTGTTTCTTTATGTAGCACATCGACTTGAGCATGGATTTGCTACGGGATCGTGCTGAAAGACATTCAAAATCGTTCAACATTCCTGGCAGACTCATATTGAACACCGAGTTCATCCGTGCCGTTGACATTGAGTACCAGTCGTTCCAGGCTATGGGTAGCGAGTACACGGTGCCGAAATATATGATGGAATGGGTCGTAGGGATGTGGCCGAGTGTCGGTTGGAAGCCATGGGATGGCTGTACGCATATGTACGTACCAGTATGTCTGAATCATCACTACATTGCAGTGGAAATCGTATTCGCCGACTCCACGATGTATGTGTACGACCCCGATCATTTATGCCTGACACAAGGTCAGCTCAAGCAAAATCTAGAGTCGCTGTCTGTGATCGTTCCCATGATGGCTAGACGAGCGAACATCACTGTACAAGACAGATTGGCCACCGTGCGGAACACGACGACGACGAGGCAACAAATATCTTAAGTGTTTGTAATTTTCTTTCTGTCATTTACATCTTAGTTTCTAACTAATTTTCGATGTGCTAATACAACACTGTTTAATTGCAGGGGTGATTGCAGCATATTCGTCATCAAGTACATAGAATTTTTGAGTGTGGCACATAAGGTTGATGCAATCAACCAGGCATGGATACAAAATTGGAGAAATAAACTAGCATGTGATTTATTTGAATTTAATGGGGATCCGTAAATAATTGTACGTATTTTTACATTTATTTAAACATTGTACAATTCATTCATTTATTTGTAATTACGAAAAAATTGTAAAATGTTGATTGCGTATGTAATATTTAAATATTTATTTTACAATGTAACCTACCGTATAATACAGTTTCTAGAAAAAGTTTCGATTTCAAATAATTAACATAAATAATATGCATAACAAATGAATGAAATGAATGAAATGTTTGAAAAAAATACTAAATCTAATAATTCGCATAAATAATATGCATAAATAATTAACGTCAATGTTATAAATAATTACATTGCCAGTAGTTATTAAAATTACACATCCGTTACATTGTCATGTAGAGGAATCTGACTTGTACAATATCTTCTAGTATGCCCTGTTGCACCGCACCTACCGCACTTACGAGGCTGGGGAAACTCTCCGGTAGACGGTATTCTAGACGTACGTGTACGTCCAGGAGTACGTGGTCCAACTGCTGGTGGCAACAAGTTATTCAGTGGGAGAATGTGGTCGGGCACTTCCCACTCGACTTCATTTGGTACAGGAAATATTGTTTCCGCATATGCTGCTCTCCAATAATCAGTCATGTAATACACACTGCATAAGGTGTGTGGTGGTAATCCTCTATGCATAGCCACTGCCACTGCATGTGTACATGGAAAACTCTCCAACTGAAACCGTCTACACGTGCACGTGTTATCATTCAAGTCCACAATGTATCCGAAATTACGTGCACATCTCACGGAGAAGCGAAATTGATCCAGTGGTTCAACATATACCTTTGTTGCCACATCTAGAGTCTTGAAGAGCTTATCTTCTTGAGCCGGGGTTAGCACACTTGCACAACTCTGTGATTCCTCACGT